GTGTGCATTTGAAGGAGTAGACATCTCTTCCTTTCCTTATGAATTGTCTTTGGTAGAGAAAGCCATTCACCATTCAACCCATCTTAACATTTTTGGGTGAGCCAGCCTGTGGTATCTGTGTAGACAGGTTTATTGCTGTAGTTCTTAGACAGGCTGGCCTTGTACCTAGATCAGCAAGCGAGTGGACTTTTTTCCCTGTGTCCACAGGGGATATCAGGGACCCTGAGACTACTTCTGTGGGCTTGGAGCTTGGGTTCATGGGGAGGCGTGGTGCCTGGGTCAATGAAGGTGAGCCTAAAACCTGTGTACATAGATGTGGCCTGGAACCTGTACCCATGAGGTCCATCCTAGCACTGGAGTCCATTAGGGTGGACCCATTTTGAACTGTGACCATTGGTAGCTCTGGAGCTTGGGTCTGTGGAGTTGGCCCAGCACCAGAGGTCACTGAGCTGGGCCTGGTACCAGAGTATGTAGTGAAGTCAGGTGCTTGCTTCATTATCCCTCCTTGTGGAGGGTATCTCTCATCACATGAAGCTGTACTAGCTCGAGTTAGTGCTGAAACTGTCCTTTTCTTATTTCTGTGCTCCACCCAGGCACTGTAATCTCTCACCTAGTTTGCTCAGCTCCTGTGAAGGTGTTTTCATGTCTGGGTTGTTATTCAAATGAATGTTTCTGTAAGTGCTGGAAACTCCTATTCTGCCATCTTGCTGATGCCATTCTTCCTATTGTAGCATGACTTACAATGATTCATTTATTTCTACTTGTTTCACATCTTTCTCTGCTTAATTAGAACTCTAGAAGGGCAAAGATGAAGTCAATTTTGTGTACTCTATTCGTAACGATAAAAATTAGTGCTGTTATCACACTGACTATGTGCTAGGCACTTTTCTAAGTTCATTTTTACCAAATCAATTCATCCTTGTACAGCTCTATTGTTATTGCCTTCATTTTACAAATGAAGAAGCCAAGCAGAGAGAGGTTGATATGATCCTGCTCTTCTATCCAGATGGCAGATTGTAAAACCAGGGTGCCAGATTTCATGTTGATCCAGGATTGTGCTCTCAACCAATACTTCCTTTAGGGAAGGAAAGACTTTCTAGTGCTTTCTTCTAGTGACCACACCTGCAGTGGTAGTCAGTGAATGAGTGGTTCATGAAACAAAGGGCTACTGACCCATCCATCAGAGAACTTGCAATTTTTGTTTTAACTGGGTACAGAGTTGGCAGCATAGGAAAGGGTAAGGAACCTGTGCTTAGGAATCCAGAAGACCTGGAGTGAAATGTGGGCTATACACTTACTGACTGGGTGACTGTAAAAACTGTAACTCCATTGAGCCTTGGTTTTTGTAGGTCAGGGTGGGAGCAATGCTGTTTATCTTGCATTAATAGTGAAGGAAAGTCTGTGAGGTGAGCCTATATAATATACCGATAGGTATAGCATGTGCTCAAATAATTTCTTCTGCCCTCTTAGGGGAGTTCTTACTTTTAGGTTAAATCACATTGCATTCCTTTGTAGGTAAAAGTATCTACAAGGTAGGAATCTGTCCAGGAGGAAATGGCTTGGGCTTGTGTGGCCAGGAAGGACCAGGGCTAGCTGCTACAGGACATGGAGGAGATGAACTGCCTCTCCTTTAGCCTTGGCTTATCACCACCATAAACTGGAGTTTTCACTGACTTGGGCCAAGTACATGGGGCTTATAGAAACCCTCATTTATGGGACCAGCAGTTAGCGTAATGGCTATGTTGCTGGACTCCCACTTAGTAGACCGCGGTTCACGTCCTGGACCCGGTGGCTTGAAACTCATGCTGGGCGCCTGTGTGTGCGTGCCCAAGATCCCGAGAGGAGAATGGAGGAGAAGGGATTGCGGCGTGGCCATCCCCCTGGGGGGTGATTTCTCACTTTCTGTCTCTCTTTCTCTGTCTGTCTGGTGAGCGCATGCACCCTATAGCAAAAACCTCTCAAAAAAAAAAAAAAAAAAAAAAAAAACCCCCCTTTTTGCCACGGGATTGAGGGG